AGGCTCTGTTCATTTTTCTTCATTCTTTTTCTCTCTGTTCTTTGGTTCACATAATCTCTATCAGTCTATCTTCAGGTTCACCAGTTCTTTGTTCTGCCAGTTCAAATCTACTGTTGAGCCCCTCTGGTGAATTTTTAAACATTTCAGTTAGACATTTCAACTCCAGAATTTCCATTAAAAAATAATTTCTATCTTTTTATTGATATTCTCTATTTGATGCAATATTGTCATCATACCTTCTTTTACTTCTTTAATCTTGCTTTTTTTCAGTTCTGTGAACATATTTGTAATGGCTACTTTGAAATCTTTTTCTTTTAAGTCTGACATTTGGCTGCTCTCACAGATTCTGTTGCCTGCTTTTTGTCTGGTGTATTGATCATACTTTCTTTTTTTTTACATGCTTCGCAATTTTTTTCATTGGAAATCGCACATTTTAGATAACATATTGTAGCAACTCTGGCAACTGGTTCCTTTCCCTCCCGCTTAGGCTTGTTATTGTTAGTTGCTTGTTTATTTGTTTAGTGACTAGATGGATCACTTTAGTGAAGTCTATTTCTCCCCCACAGAGTTAAACCTTTGATGTTGCTCCTCAACAGGCACAGTTTGGGGTCTGCCCACAGTCACCCAGGGATGATGGTGGTATTGGTAGGGCTCTCTTCCTGTCTTTCCATGACCACTCCCAGCTGTTAAACTCTACTAATTTCTGGTTCATTGTTCTATTGTTTTCAATAATGCCTTGGGCATAAATTATTGTACAAACTAATCCAGTCACATTGCAGCTCCTTTGAAAGAATAGTTTCTGATTCATTGTTTGATCTTTGTTCTGATCCCAGGAAGGCTCCTTCCATCTGTTTTTCTCCTGCAAACTATCCAGCCTACAGTCTAGGCTGTATCTTTGTTAAATTCACGATCCACAAATCTCCTCCCAATGATGTTTACCAGAACCTCCACTGTTCTTTTTTTTTTTTTTTTTAGGAAGATTAGCCCTGAGCTAATATCTGCTGCCAATCCTCCTCTTTTTGCTGAGGAAGACTGGCCCTGAGCTAACATCCATGCCCATCTTCCTCTACTTTATACGTGGGACGCCTACCACAGCATGGCTTGCCAAGTGGTGCCATGTCCACACCCAGGATCTGAACCGGCGAACCTGGGGCCGCTGAAGAGGAACGTGTGAATTTAACTGCTTTGCCATCAGGCCCGCCCCTCCACTGTTCTTGAGAGCATCCTTAGCCTTGAGCTTCTCCATGCTCTGTTGCATATTAAGTCATTTCCTTTGGGAAGAAATTAGGAGCTATCTATTTTATCTGTTTTATGGCCTTCTTCTTCCCCCAGGCAAAATTTCTGAGCCAGAGTTCTGGACCTGGAGGTAGGGACAATGGCAAGCTTCTCTCTGAGTGATACTCCTTTTCTAGGAGCTCAGCACTTGGTGTGTGTGGGGGGTCAGCAATCTGAGGTCCTTTTGGCTTACCTGTCCTCATGGGGAACCATTGCCTCACATACTTTGGCAAGGTTGACTGGGATCCCAGTATTCTGAGCACACTGCACTCAAGTTAGAACATCTGTTATAAAAGTTGGGAATGGGAGGAGAAGGGAGCCCCCATTCAGTGTTAACAAAAGGTAGCTGGGGCAGGATGAGAAATACTGAAGTCCTATTCTTCTTGGGAAGAAAGGCCTCTGACTGAAAAGTGGGGGGAGAGGAAGCCCTGTGTTCTTGGCAGTCTGGAGCAGAGTCTTTGCCTCACTGGGTTGGGAAGGGGGAGGGAGGGAGTGGTCTTGGTTCAGTTATCACAGATTCTCACCTGTTAAGACTGGATTTTCATAGACTTTTTTTTAAAGATTTTATTTTTTTCCTTTTTCTCCCCAAAGCCCCCAGGTACATAGTTGTATATTCTTAGTTGTGGGTCCTTCTAGTTGTGGCATGTGGGATGCCACCTCAGCATGGCTTCATGAGCAGTGCCATGTCCACGCCCAGGATTCGAACCGAAGAAACACTGGGCCGCCTGCAGTAAAGCGCGGGAACTTAACCACTCGGCCACGGGGCAGTCCCTAGATTTTCTTGAATAGCTGTTTCTTCATTTGCTGCTTGCCCTTAGGGCCATTTCTACAGGCTTAAGGTTTTTTTTTTTTTTTTTTTAACATTGTCACCAGTTTCACTGGGAAGCTGGTCAGTGGAACTCTTTACACTCTCATGCTAGACATTGATCTCACTATGTCCATTCTTTTTTTTTCTTCTTAAAGATTGGCCCTGAGCTGACATCTATTGCCAATCTTTCTTTTTCTTCTCCTTCTCCCCAAAGCCCCTCAGTACATAGTTGTGCATTCTAGTTGTAGGTCCTTCTGGCTCTGCTGTGTGCCTCAGCGTGGCTTGATGAGCAGTGATAGGTCCATGCCCAGGATCCGAACCAGCGAAACTCTGGGCTGCCGAAGCGGAGCGCGTGAACTTAACCACTCAGCCATGGGGCTGGCCCTCGCTACATCCATTCTTGATAAAAATCTTAAAATGATAAAATATATTTTTCCAATGCTAAAGGAAGAATCTTAAATTTAATGAGAAAAAATTAGAAACATTTGCATTAAAGTTAGGAACCAGAAAAGGACGTCTACTATCACCACTATTATTTAACATTGTTTTGCAAGTACTGATCAAGGCAATTAAACAAGAGAATGAGATTAGAGGTATAAAATTTGAAAAGGAGGTAAAATTATAATTATTTGCAGACATGGGCTGTATATCTGTCAAATCTGAAATAATCGACTGGAAAACTACAAAACTATTAGTTCTGTAAGGGAATTCAGTAAGCAATCTGAGTACACATTAATATACAGAAATCAGTAGCCTTGATATATGTAAACAACAGCCAGTTAGAAAATACGAGGAAAGAAAAAATTCCATTTATAACGGCAATAAAAAAGGTAAAAAAAACCTTGAAAAATATGTAAGATCTATATGAGGAAACACTACTTAGATTAGCAAAAGGAGACTTAAGTAATTGGAAAGGAATACCATATCCTTGAATAAGAAGGCTGTATCATAAAAATGTTCTAAGTGGAGACTAACTCTCCCAGATACTAAAAAATACTACAAAGCCTCTGTAATTCTATCTATCTATCTATCTATCTATCTATCTATCTATCATCTATCTATCATCTATCTATCTATCTATCATCTGTCTATCTATCATCATTGGTATGGACTCAGTTCTTGTTTTTAAATGTTTACAATTCATCATTGTATTTAATTATTTTGGTCCTCATTGTCCCACATTTGGCTAGTAGAAGGTGCTTCCACCTGGTTGCTGTAACCTTGTGATATGCCTCCATATTTTTTTTGAGCAATTCTTTGGTTTCTGGCATAAAAACTTGTTGCAGACTGATTTTGTACCTACCCTGCCCTGGCCCTGGCCCTAAGGAGCCCTGGTTACTTTAAATTAGGAATGGTATTAGAGACCATGTTTAGGAATTCACAGTCTTAAAAGTACCCCATTCCAGTTTAGAATCTTAGAGATGTTTCAACACTTATGCCTAAAGACTGCTAAAGCCATATTGTTGTTTTACAACTGAAGATAAACTTAGGTTTTAAAGACAAGAAGTTACAGAAATGCATCTGATTTAGATGCCGTCTTTATGTGCCACTCAAAACTCTCCGACTAAGCCTCTGTTGGGGTAACAGTTCTGAGCAGTCTCACCTGCTGGGTCCTTCCTGGAGCTGTGCATGCCTCTTCCTTCCTGCCCTGGGTGGCTTCCCTGATGCCACAGCATGGGACACCCTGGGAACTACTCTGTGCTCATACCCATGCACCCCGTAATCATTGGGGAGTTAATTCCCAGGGGCCACCTTTGATCAATGGAAGATGGGAGTGATGGTTAAATGTTTCTCCTGGACACTTGGAGATGAATTTCACAGGGCTCCTGGGAGGCCCAGCAGGGTGGAGCCCCAGTGCCCTCCGTGGTGGCTACCTCAGTAACTTTTTCTTTTGCTGGCTTTCCCTCTCTCCCTGTTTCATGCCTCCTGCCTTTCACTGCTGCTGCCTGGAATCCTTTCCCAAATACCAGCACACAAAATTTTCTCTCAGGCTCTGCTTCAGGGGGATCTAGGCTAAAATAGCATCATTAAAAATATATATATAGGGGCCGGCCGGTGACGCAGTGGTTAAGTGCGCAGGTTCCGCTTCGGCGGCCCAGGGTTCACCAGGTCAGATCCCGGGTGTGGACATGGCACCGCTTGGCAAGCCCTGCTGTGGTAGGCGTCCCATGCATGAAGTAGAGGAAGATGGGCACACCTCTTTCTCCCTTTTCCAGTTCTCCCAATCTCTTTGTCCCTGCGTATCTCTATCCCACTGGCCATTCATTTCCCTTCCCTCTTTGCTTTGTGTTATCTCTAGCCTGTCATCTCTTTCTGCTTCATCATATTTCTGTCTCCTTCATGCCTTTACTCTGTTTTTATGTGATTCTTCTTATTTCCTTCCATTTCCTACTGTTAGTAAACAAAGTTGGGAGTCAACCCAGCTTGTTGGATACTTGAGCCCTGTGGCCTTATGCTCCTTGCATTGTCTCACAAACAGGGGAGGGGAAGCCCGGCTTAGATTGTGTGCTCCCAAACTAAGGATTCTGAAAGCTTTGCTGAGTGTTGGTGGGATTGGCCCATAACAGACATCTCATGAATGTGGAAGAATTCGTGCATGAAGGGTAGATAGAAGTGATGATGGGACTTTGACTTCTCTGATAGCCACAGAAATCACAGAGTCGGCTTTGAGAACTGGTCCTGGGTCTGTGGACCCCTTATTCAGTCATCTCCCCCCAGTCCCTGCTCTTGAGCTGGAGCAGAGAAGTTTATTCACTCCCAGGAGTGGAAAACGAGACCCTGGAGAGGGAGCTGGGAGACTCACAGAGAAGTCTTAGCTCCTTGTTGCTTCCCCTCAGGACAGTGCAAAGTAAGGCCAGCTTTCCCTGGAGGTGACTTATTTTGCCTCTCTGTAAAACTACCCAAACACATGCATTTGTTCACATTTCAAAACCACTTTATTACCAAAATGAACAAAAAGAGAATGGCGTTTAAATTAAATAAATTACACAAATATCTCAAGAGTCCCCGTCTTCCCTGGGAACCATGTCATCACAGGTCAGTATCACTGAGAACATTCAAAAGTATTGAAATTCTGGATTATTTCACTACCTTGCCCTCCTTTCCTGCCTCAATCATGTCCAGAGAGTGGTCTGTGTGATTTTTTTGTGTGTTCTTTCTAAAATATTCTAACAGCGAAGTTTTCTTTAATGTCTGCCCAACACCATGTGTTTCCAATCTTACCTCCACTGTGGGCTCTGTGAGTACTTACACCCTTGGACATGTTTCGGGAAGCCTCCTTGAGCCCCCGCTCTGGGCCACGGTGAGTCAGCAATCTCCTTCAGGTCTGGGACTGGCCTGGGGATTAATGGTCACTTCATCAAGTCCTCAGGGGTTCTAGACACTTGATTCAAAGGGCACCTCTGACTTGGATGTCCTGAGGCTCTGTGACGTCCCCCACCTCCTGGGCCTGAGCTGGACTTTGAAGGAGGTGGAATGGGGGAGGGCGAGTTGTCATTGGCTTAGGTTCTTGTCCTCCTGGAATTTGGCACTTCGGGTGCTGGGCACGGTGAATCCCAGATAACATTGTCTTCTGCCTTCCAAGTTTTGAGTTCCATTGGCAGCCAGATGGCATAATGAATTCACAGAGAAGCAATGCTCGGAGGCCAAGAATCTGTTGGATCATTGCCAGCGCCCGCTCCTTTAACTCTAAGAAGACCTGCTAGCTGACCAGCTCACTCAACACTCAGACACACAATGCAGGTCAGGCTGAAGTTGGGAATTGGGACGTTTTTCCAGGTTGAGCCAGCCCAACCTGTTGGGCCGGGATCATGCAGTTGAAGGAGCTCAGGGGAAGCAGTGGGGAGAGGCCAGAAGGTTTTCTGCACACTTCTATGAAAATTTCCCAAACAGTTGAACATGGAACCTATTTATTTTCAAGTCAACAAGGGGGTTCCTCTAGTTACCATCTTATTTATATACATGGAGAACTGAACCCCTCTTCTCATCTTTCGTAGAAGAAGAGGGCCTCAGGTCCTGAGTGTGTTCAGGAATCCTGTGGAGGAAGACCCCGTTCTGCACCTAGCTGGGGGATGCAGCTGGTCCTTGGGGAGCTTTTTCTCTTGTCTAGCTGAAGGATTCAGGCCCAAAGCTGATCATGGAGAGTTAAAATCATTGGTTCTGTGCCAGGTCAAGGCACATTTCCCAAGTGGAGAAGGCATTTCCGAGGTCGGGGGACTGTCAGGGCCCAGGTCCCGCCAGTTTGCCCTGGGTCGGCACTGGCACCCCCTCCCCCTCCAAGTCCCAGGTACAAAGAGAGATTCCTAAAAAGCTTCTGTGCAGAAAAACTGGTATCTGTTGCTAGGTTGCCAGAGGATTCTGCCTGCTACTCCCTATACCTTTTGGGCTCCTCCCCAGTCTCCAGTGGAAAGGAGCAGCCCCTGCGGGCAGGCAGAGTGATAATGTTTCAGGAGGCTGGGGTGACTACCTTGTTGGGCTGCCCCTGGGAGGCAGCTCTGGTGACCCTGAGGGCCCTGGCCACTCCCCAGGCTAGAACCTGATGTGCCGAATAGCAGTGAGGTCTTGGCAGCCTTCAGATGAGGAGGAAGGGGGCACAGTCCCCAAGACAGAGATTTCTGGGTTGTGGGGAGTACATAGTCCCAGGGGTGCAGAGCTGCCAGGGAGAGAGCGGGGGCAGCTGGAGAGGGCAAGCCACAGAGTCCCAAGCAAGTGCGTGCCTATGTCCTGTGACAGCGTGACATCATCTGACACAAAGCAGGCCCAAGGACACTTTCGAAGCTTCTACTCCAGGCGAGCACAGTCGTGCTTTCCCTTCTGTTCTTGGCTCACTCTTAAAGTCCGGCAGTCGGGGGGCCCAGCTGCCATGGCAGGGCATGGGTGGGTGCGGTGGAGGGAGAAGAGGCTTGCTCACGGCTGGCCAGGGCCCTGAGGGTCTACAGCAGACTGGAGAGGTGGCTCTCCTCGCTGCTGAGATCAGCCTGCTCTAGAGACGACAGGCAAGGAGAGAGGAGGAGAGACAGGAGGACGGAGGGGGCTGAAGTCCCGGAGGAGGCGCTCTCCTCCTCCCACCACTCCCACAATCGCAGGCTCAGCCTCCGCGGAAGTTCCGGGTGCCAGGCTCCGCAGGCAGCATGGGGCTGGCTGGGCCCTCACAGGGCGGTCAGGGTTTCTGAGTGGAACATGCTCCCGAACATCTCCTGCAGGGCCCCAAGGAGGAAAAGGGAGGGGAAGGGAGAGCATTAGACCTGCTGGGTTCAGAGGGGCTGCAACCACGAGGTAAACTATGAACCCCTGGCCAGAAAGAGGCATCACGGGTGTGTGTGAGCATGTGTGTGCGTGTGCGTGTGTGAACGGGGGTGAGGCAGGGTCAGCCTAAGAGGTAAACTGGTACAGAGGTGATAAGAGAGGCTGCCTGGAATCTAATTTTGCATCACCTCCCGTGGCTGTGTGACCTTCACACGGCCCACCCGCTTTGTAGCTTCACTTTCTTCATCAGACAGAGCGAGGGCTCAGATCAGATAAGCTCTAAAGTCCTGTCTGCTCTGATAAGCTATTTTGGTTCTATCCAAGTTTTTTTGGAATGTGCTGGAAATTCGACGGGGGCACAGAAATTAGTCTGCCAAATCTTTGTGCCTCTGGCTCTATTTCCTAATGTCTCCTGCATGCCGTCACCACTCATAGAGACGTGTGCAGAGGACCATGGAACTCAGCCCAAAAAGAATGGGAAGAGGCACAAAGTGAGATGTTATTTCCCTAAACTTGGTCATCTGGCTTCTTGTTATTGAGGGCATCGGGGTAGGGCTACTTTTCACGTGAGGACCAGAGGGCCCGGTGGGGATAACAACACTTCACATCTGCATCTCAGCTCTTGAGGCCACATGTAACAATATTTGTATTCCTAGAATTTGTGCCCGGTACTTCCTCTGACCCTCGCAGAACATGTTCCCTAAGGGCAAGGGTCTTTGTGTCGCTCCCTGCGGCCTGTCCACCCTGTGTCAGGCAAGTAGTAGGCAGCCCGTAAAGACCCGTCGAATTAATGAAAGAAAAATGAGGTGGAGGGGACAGGTATTAGCCATATTCCCCTTAACTCACAACAACAAAAACTGGGGCCCGGGGGTGTTGCATGCCTTGCCCAAGGTCATGTGGTAGATGCGTTGGAGAGTTAAGAATAGATATTAGTTCTCTAGGACTTGGTCCAGTGTCTCTCCCTTCCCCCACGATGCCTTTCAGGGAGTGAGAAGAATTAAGATCTGCTATTAAAAGAAAGATGAGAAAGAAACCTTGTTGCCTTCAAGGTGACTGCTTTGGCTTAAAGGAGAGACAGCCTGGTGAACACCCTGGATTTGAGAGGGTCTCCTCCCCGCCCCCCCCCCCCCCCCCCCCCCCCCCCCC